ACTAGTGATAAGCAGTGAGTATGAAGTCACAATTCCACTCTGAATGTTCTCTTTTTAGAGCAGCACTTTCTCTTCTGTGTTTTGTCTATTTTTGGTTGAAAATAAACTCCCAAATGTGGGGGACTTAAAAGAAAATTGTTTCAGTTCTCCTTGAACAGGCCACTGTGTTCTCCTGTAAAAGAATGGAGAGAAGTTCCTCCTTGGACATGTTTCTAACCTCCAGTCTTCATCTAATTCCCAAGCCCTAGGACTAGGAGGAAAATCTGAATTTTCTTGTATTTAAGAGGCCTAAGTCCAGAAAATCAGGGAGACTCTGGCTGCCTCTTGGAGGAACAGGATGACACAGAATCCCTACCAAGTACAGTGGCAGAATGTGAATTAGAGAAGAGCTCTTGGGATGCTAGATCTATTTCTCATTGCAGAGGTGAGGTGATGGAGGCCAGGAGACAGGAGTGCAGACAAGAGGAAGAATGGAGAGCTTTGACTTGGGTTCTAGAACACCAGGAAAAGGAGCAACTCAAGTTCTCACCTTGACTTTAACTCTGCCTTTCCTTTTTCTAAGGCCACATCATCACCATCAAGGCCATGGTCCACAGAGAAAATATAGAAAGTGATTCAGAGGATGAGGAGGAGGAAAAAAGGACCAGAAATCTGCAAGTGATTGATTTTCTATTGGTTTCTATTCTTTCTTATGTAAAGGCTGTAGATTTTCCATGTTTCATCTTTCCCACATTTTATGACTTTTCTAAAGGTGCTTTCCTCATCCAAATCTTTGAGGTCCTTGGACCTTCAATGTCTGTTAAATCTCTCTGCACTAACATTCTTAGTCTTTCCCTGTTTTTTTTTTTCACCACAGGCAACACCACTGAATCATGCTGAGCAATTCTGCATACCCATACAATGAGTTTGAGTTGTAGGGAGCATCAGAAATAGTGAGTTGTTGCCTGATACATGAGGCACAAACAATATGGTTCTGTTTTACTGACCACTGAATAGCTGGGTTCTCCTGCCTTTGCTGGCTCTGAGCATGCATGAATTTACCCTTCCTTTCCTAGTTTAAGATTACACAATTCGAATGTATGTCCCTTAACATGAATTGTTTCCAGGGGTCTCTTCTGATTTAATATGTGGGCTCAATGCAGCAAAAGTGACAAAGCAGTTTAGGAAAAGGAAATGTGAGTCTGGAAAGAAAGGGTAGGAGAGAAGAGGTCAAATCAGTCCACATATTCTCCATTGCTTTCTTAAGTTTCTTTGTTGCACTTTATGCAATCCATCAGAAGCAATTAGTGCACTGAAGGTTCTATAGTTGCATGTGACCATGGCCATGCAAGGAAGGTACAATTTGGTTAAAATCAGTGCACGAAGCTCTCTGAGGAATGGCGCTACAGAGGGTAGGGCTGGAGGAGCCAGGGTCCTTGCTCCACCCTGTGTCATCACAGGTGCTGCTCCTCAGGGTCCCAGATGTGTGCTACTCAGCCTTTACACCCAAATGTCCTAGAGAACCCTTCCCATTGCCTCATGTTCACTCTCTAGGGAAGCAGACTCAGAAGGTTCTGAAGGTGAATGTCCATGGGAATTTGCTCCTGAGGATATTCATAGACACTCTTCCCACAGACAACACTCTCAGCTGAGGGCAGCATACCAGCCTCAGTGCTCCCTGCCCAGACCCTAGGAGAGATCAGGGCCCAAGTTCATCTTGCATATCCTGAGGACAATTGTGGTCCTGGCCACTCTCTGTGGCCAGCAACTCATCCCAAGTGACCTTTTTACCTTGTTCTGTTTTATAGACCCCATAAGAAACCTGGGAGAGCAGAAATCTTGGCCCTGGGATACAGGAAAGATGATATCTACAGTGCACAGAAGCTGAAATTAACCTGTAAGATTCGAAGCAGGAGCTTGTATTTCGGTTCGAAAGACATAACTATCTATATTGTATAGAATTTGCAGATTTATATGTTATTTGTTTAATAATTTTAATAGTAGTACTTCATGTTAAATTTTTATATTAAATTATATTTACTTAGTAACAGTTGCTTTTAAAATTCATTCTGTAAAAGAAAACACACTAGGGAAGAGAGGTGGGAGGGAAAGGGAGGGAGAAGGGGGATTTCATGGAAGATGGAAGGGGAGACCCTCATCATTATACAGAATACATGTATGATGATGTGAGGAGAAAAAAAGAAGTATGTCACATTAGATTGGGTAGAGAGAAGTGATGGAAGGGGAGGTGAGGGGGAGGGGAAAAAGGAAGGTCAGCAGAATAAAATAGACATTAGTATTACTGTATGTATATACATGACTGCATGACCAATGTGATTCTGAAACCTGTACACTCAGAAAAATGAGAAATTATACCCCATCTTATTCAAAAATATGATATGTCAAGATCATTGTACTGTCATGTTTAACTAA